AATATTTAAAAATGTTATGTACTTCTTGAAATTGAAATAAATTCAAATAGAGGGAGAAGTTAGGCCTGGCCCACTTGAAAATATGCAAATGGATTCTTATATACCTTTTGGAAAAAGTGTAACCCACCTCTTTTATGAGGAGGAGCAAAATTCAAATTTAAAAAATTGGAGTTTCACAATTTCCAATATAATTATAATCAATAATAAAATTCGTAAACATATTATTTATTATAATATTTAACATATATAAGAAATATAAATACCAAATACAAGTTTTCATGGGCATCTCATTTAATCCCTTATTTGTCGCAAGCATATTCTAGCTTTAGCCTCTAATTATTTGAAACTTTTTTTTATGGGCATGTTATGTCATATCATATTGCTAGTTTAACCCATCTTATGGTGTTCAGTCAACCATCTCTATATGTTCATCATTGTCAGAGTATTGTTGTAGCCTTATCTACCACATCAAAGCATTTTCATTTGCAAAATATTGCCTTCGATTCATCTTTACCCGCCACTATCATCAAACTACCGCTAATTGACCATTGTTGTTGCTGGCCAACCACTGTTAGGTTGTCATAGCCCAATCACCATTATTGGATTGTTGTTACCCAACAACCTTCATTAGATCATTATCACTTGACTGTTGCTATTTAAATATCACTCTTAATGCTTTAAATTTGTGATATTTTTTTGTTATCCACTCAGGGGTGTCAATATTTGGCATAACTTAAAATCCCAACCTAAACCTGACCAAAATATTATGGGTTCGGGTCAACCCATTTGAAAAATGGGTTGTATTCGGGTCAACCAGAAAACCTAAAATCAATCCTCTAACCTAAGCATGGCCTCTGTTGTGCACATCACACTCACGCTAGCTCACCTCCTGGTCTCGTTGCTCGTCATGCTCGCGGTCACCATCACGAGTTCGTTTGCATGTTGTAGGCGCTTGCCCACATGCCCACTCACCACACGCCCACTTACCTGTATGCACACACTCACAGCTAGCTTTCTGGCCCTGCTCGCATGACCCTTCATTGTGTTCATGGTTACCCTTGCCTAAGTTTGTGGTTCGTGTCCAGTCGACCCAGATTCAAATCGGGTCGAGTTTTGTGACCCCTTTCCCTAATCTGGTTAGGTCGGATCGAGATAGTTGGTTGGGGGTCATTTTCGTGCTGTACAGAATCCCACTTGAAAACTCATTTTGACACCCCTATATCCACTCAATCTCTTGTAATATTGCCTTCTCCAAATTAGGGCCCAAGCAAATCTTTCTTATTGACGCTCACATACATAATTATTTCAAATAGGCTATGTCTTATCATTTTTCCTCTTTTTTAGGATTTTCATGCGAAAATTCTAATGTTTTGGTGCTCTTTTCATTTATCTGTTTACTTGTGGAATGTTCATGTAAAACTAAGGTGCAAACCTATCTTACTCTATTACTGTAAATTATAGCTTGTAAGAAGTATAATATACACAGGCTAATCACATTTTTCTTCATTATTATCTCTTTAGTTACATTTCTTTAGTATTATAGTATATTTGAATTCATTATAAATTAGATATACCACATTTTACTTTTTTTGTGTTTTGGTCTATTGTAAAATAAAACATGAAATAGTATTTTTTTAATATTTGGTTGAATGTAAATTAAAAACAAGTCTAGGGCATAAATATATGGTAGTAGATCTTAGGCATGAGAAGTAAATACTAGGTTGAGTGTTGAGCATAACATGTTGATCAATAATGTCGTTGTAGTCGTAGTGAGTGCAACAAGGGAGTGTGTCGCTAATAATTTTCACGTAATATCAAAGTAGGGTTGACTGACAATAAAGATTGAGATGATGAAATATAGCAGTGGGAACTAAATTGAATATGAAAAAACATTTTAAAAAATCCACTGAAATGACATAAGGACTATTGAAATATAATATTATTTCTTAAAGGCTCATCATTAAAAATAATAATTTGCCTATCATTTTCTTCATGATTATCTTGTGGAATGAAGGGAACAATAAATATCAGTTTGGAATGTTTTATTTTTTTAAATCTATGCTATGCTATATTGTTTTTAGCATTATCTATAAAACTTTTAAATAATTGTAACATTAGTTTACATTAATCATCGTTTTCACGAGAAAATGAAAAATTAGTAAATAAATTGATGAAAGCAGATCAAATTTTGCCTAAAAACCTTAACATTTTAAAAACGGATTGATTTTGTAAATTTCCTCTGCCAAAAATCATTAATGGGGAGAAGTCTTACCTTTAAGATGGTTTTAAAAATTAATAAAAAAATACCGCGAGTTGTAGGCGATTTTAATTGTAACATTTAAATAATAATAACAATTTTCAGCATTAAATATTAGTATCTGAAATACTAGTACTAGATTTTCAGTGAATTAGATGAGAGGATTTATCACAGGGCGAACCAAGGTTCAATTTGAGCGGGCCAATCTTACAACATAAAAATAATTAAATATTAAGAAAAAATATATTATATTGTTCTATATTTACGAAAAGTTTTAAAAAAAATAAACAAGTAAAATAAGAAAATATTTTGTATTAAACTGTTTCGAAGCTCATCGAAAAGAAATCATTAGAGTTATCAAATGTGAAGAAATATATAGATATTTATAGGACAGTTAGACAAAAAGTTTTTTAGGGGGGGGTGAGTTGCGGGGTAAAAAATTATGAGGGGCAAAAATTTTTTTTTACTCTCTTAGAATTTTTTTTTTTTTTACTCTTAAAAAAAAAATTTTTTTTGAGGGGGGACAATTGCCCCCCCTAGGAACCAAGTGGTTCCGCCACTGATTTATCATGTAATAATTTGTTGAAATTTTTTTTTTAGATCATAAATTTATGTTATATAATTTTTTATTTATTATTTGTCATTTTAAAAAATTATAAATTTAATATTTGTTATGTATTTATAACTTTTTTTTAAATGTTCATAAAACTTTATTATGGGAGTGAGTTATAGAGCGTAGGTTGCGGTGTGATACTAATGTTTCTCAAAATCAATTTGGATTCATGTCAGATAGGCCTACTATGGAAGCCATACATTTATTGAGAGGTTTGATGGAGAAATATAGAGAGAATAAGGGGGATCTACATATGATATTTATTTATTTAGAGAAAGCATATGATAAACTTCCAAGACAAGTGCTATGGAGAGTTCTTGAAAAGAATGGAGTTAATAACACGTACATTCAAATCATTAAAGATATGTATGTTGGAGCTATTTCTTGTGTTCTAACACAAGGTGGTTTGACCAAGTATTTTTCTATTTCGGTTGGATTACATTAAGGATCAGCCTTAAGCCCATATCTTTTTTTGCTTTAGTCATGGATGTCTCACTATACATTTACAAGAGGATGTACCTAGTTGTATGCTTTTTGCTAATGACATTCTTCTTGTTGATAAGATTAGAGAGGGAGTTGAAGGCAAACTTGAATTATGGAGGTCAACCTTAAGTCTAAAGGTTTTCGCTTCATTGGATCTAAAATTCAATATATTAAGTGTAATTTTAGTAGTAATAGACTTAGTGAGGGGATTGTGACTTTGGCTATCAAATCATTAATAAGAGTACACATTTTAGATATATTGGATCTATTGTTCAGAGTGATGGTGAAATAGATGGGGATATTATCAACATAATTCAAGTTGAATGATTGACGTGGAGGAATGCATCGGGCTTGTTGTGTGATAGAAAGTCCCCCTCAAACTTAAGGAAAAATTATATAAGATGGTGGTCAGACCTGTAATGTTTCATGGTGCCGAATGTTGGAGTGATTATTCCATCAGATTACCGAATGCATCCGGAAGCCAATAACAAAACGCCACGTCACTAAAGTGCTCGGTACAGGCGCTCGGTACACTCAGTATGCTCGGTATTTTTTGCCGGACGCAATAAAAATTCCGAATGTTGGCCATTAAAAGAGAAGCATGATAGTAATAATACCAAGTGTTGCAAAGATGAGGATGCTCAGGGTGGATGAGTGGCTTTACTCTTTAAGATAGGATACGAAATGAGCATATTCGTGATGGAGTAGCTCTAGTGGACGATAAGATTAGAGAGAGACACCTTAGATAGTTTCGTCACATAAAACGACGGCCTTCCAATGACCCGATTAGGAAAGTTGAGGTATTAGATATGACTTATGTTAAGAAAGGTAGAGGTAGACCTAAAAAGACTTGCTCAATGAATATTAGAAATGATCTTTTATTATTAAATTTAAATGAGAATTTGATTTTAGTCAGGACACAACGGAGAAAAAAGATTCATGTAGCCGACCCCACATAGTGGGACACGCTTTATGTTGTTGTTGTTGTATATTTTTTTCATGTTATAAACAAACTGATAAAAATAAAAATATTAAAAACTCGTTAATTAGGGGTACTTTTAATATTATTAATATATGTATTTAAAATAGTCACTCTCACCCACCGAGGCTTAGGATGGTTGATGGGCGAGCACGATTGGGAACCTCATATCCCGGATTTGAATCCTCTCTACTACAGCCTCGCCTCTTCAATGGGGCAAAATAAATGTGGGCCCAATGCCAGTGCATGGAATTGCTAAATTCTGCCAAGAGATTAAGGCTTCATTTGATTGGAAGTTTTTTGTGTTTATTCTGTTTTAAAATGACAAATTCATTTCTTCTTTATTGTTTGGTTCGTCAAATCAATTTCTCAATAACTTCTTTTGTTTCAAGAAAGCTTTTTATCTATGTTTTTTCGTTAAAAAACTCCATTTTATGATCCAAAGTTTCTTAAAACTGTTTTTTACAAAAAATCAAAAGAAGCCTAATTATGCCACTAAGAGCTTCTTTTAAATAACTGCGGATAGATTCTCCCGTATAAAAAAAAAATCCCTCTACTGCCCATTTGTTAGAGAGAAAATAGGGTGGAACAACGTAAATATCAAGAGAGGATGAGCGGGGCCGCTGAGAATACTGCGCTTTTTTAATAAATTAACGGAGATAGAGAGAGAACAACGAAAAGTCCCAATAGTGTGCCTAACGGACGGTGCAGATACCTGAGTCTCTCCATCGATCTCTCAATCCCAGTCGTCTCCTCCTTCCTCGCTTCTCCAGCGTCCGATCGCCCTCCTGCTCTCCCCAGCGCGAAGCAACCGAAAAAGGGAAGATCCCGAGTTATAGAACTCCCCCTCAGCCTCGTTCGCGCGCTCTATTGTTTTGCGAGGTACGCTTTTTGAACTAAGCTATCGATTGTCTAGGGTTCCGCTACGCAGACGAGCGTTCACGTTTATGATTCGTTCTCGTGCCCTCTCGGATCTAGGGTACCGCCTATGGCGGCGGAGGTGCCAGCAAGCCCTTGCGGCGGAAGCCACGAGAGTGGCGACCAGAGCCCGAGATCCAATGTCCGTGAGCAGGATAGGTTCCTTCCCATCGCCAACATCAGCCGCATCATGAAGAAGGCGCTACCTCCCAATGGAAAGATTGCCAAGGACGCGAAGGAGACCGTGCAGGAGTGCGTTTCCGAGTTCATCAGTTTCATCACCAGCGAGTCAGACATCCTATTTCTATGTTTTTGACGATTTGTTTCTTGTCTTGATTTATGTTTTCTAATCGTATTTGCTGGCGGGCAGGGCTAGCGATAAGTGCCAGAGGGAGAAGAGGAAGACAATTAATGGGGACGATCTACTGTGGGCAATGGCAACACTAGGGTTTGAGGACTACATTGAACCGCTTAAGTTGTATTTGCAGAAGTATAGGGAGGTGATTACTCTGTGACAATTTCTGTGAGCTTTTAGGTCTTTTCAGAATGATGCATCGGAATTGGTGGTTAGCGGGGTGATAGGCCAATCTTCTTCTTTTGCCCTTTTGTAATCGTTTATCTGATGGCGATTTTTGTTGCCTTTTTTTTTTTTATCTGGTGGTTCTGTGGAATGGATGCGACGCCATGGCAGATAGAGGTAATCAAACTAATCTCTCCCCTCTGTAATCGGTTTTTTTTATTTTCTTCAATAGCAGTTCTATTATTTATACTGTGATGCCTTATGGCACTATACTGTCTCCCATTTGCGTGTTAAGGAGTTAATATTTATGGGTTTCCACCGAAAGGAAAATTATGGTGTATAATCCGGGCCCTGGCAGTGTTCTATTAAAGTAGAATTAATGCTATAGTTTTATGATTTTATTGGTCATTGTGCATTTCTAGATGTGGTTGCTTACATGTTTAATGTAAAAGTAATGTACTGCTTACATGTCGAAAAGGCGCATCAATTTTTATGTGATATTTTACATGGCCAATTTAAAATTTAAGCACTACATACATGCTGCCTTAGTTGTTAAAGATAGCCCGATGACAAACGTTTAACGTTTAAGATGCTCATTCTTGCAGTTCTCCAGTACTAATTTTGCTCTAATTTTGGCAGGGAGATGGCAAGGGTTCTGCTAAAGGAGCAGAGAGCTCTAGTAAGAGAGATGCAGGTGGTCTTCAAGGTGGAAACCTATCTGGTTCAAGCATGCAAGGGGATATGAAGGTATCTTCATCTCTTGATTAGATTTGTAACCAACTATAGCATGCCAATCTTTTTCATTTGTTTTGATTGATAATTTTGTAATTAAAATCTTGCAGATGCTTCAGCAAGGCTCTTTTACTGAAGGCATGAATTATATGAATACTCAGGTAGCTTATTTCCACTTTCCTGTCGTTACGCTTCTATAGAAATGAACATACCAACCCATTGAACAATTAAGGGTTCATTTGGTTGGGCTTCTTGTCATAAAGTTGGTTTTGAAATTGCTTATAGAAAGCTATATTATGAATTTTTTTTAAACATATGTGCTAGTTGAAACAAACGGCCTCTAATCGGGTAATAGTCAGGCCTTTCACTGATTGAGCATCTTCTTTCTGCTTTTTTCTCTACTTAGTGTTTCTTGAAAAGAATCATCATGCCAGTTAATGCAACTTAAGCACGAAGCATGGTATCTGAATGTCTTTGAATCCCCCAATTTCAAATATACTCTCATGAAGTTGATGTGAAATAATGGATTTCTATTCCATTTGAGTATGTTATAAATGTTTTGGAAGTGAATAGCCTATCCATTTTTGCAGTGCAGGTCAGCTAAAGAAACATTTGCTCCATGCATGACTGTTTATTTCCTTTTGGAAGGAAAACTTCTTGACACATACAGAGGCACGGAGCTGTGCACTATTAACCTATACTTTTTTATAAATTTCACGGCTCCTGATTTTTTTTTTTTTTTTTTTTTTTTTTGAGCTTCATTTTGTAATCTCCCTTCATTGCAAAAAAGACTTCAGTATAAAAATATTGATATGACGGTTGCACAATTTCTTGGAGTTTGTGAGCTTGTGTATGTATTCCAAAAGCGGTATAGACTAAGCATATGAGATGTGGAGGGATAATGGCGATACTTTAGGTTAGGTTAAGGCATAACATTTGAACATCTAATTTAGTATTTATTGAATCAATATTATAAGAATTGGGAATGAATTCACATAGGTTTAAATCTAATATTGGTGATAGTCAAGAAAGAAGATTTAGGCTAGAATCTAGGTTATTTTAAATGATTTCATTGGTTTCTATCATTTCTGTATTCTAATGCACTGTTATTGTTGTATATCTCCACACTTGGAACATTTTAGATGATTATGATTGTGCCGTAAAGAGCTTGTGTTTTACCATTACTGTTTTTGGAAGGTTTACACAATTTGTTCGATTTTGTGAACTTTGCATGTATTCTTAAAGTGATGGATCAGCGGCATATAAGATGTGGAGGGATAATTACATCTTGATACTTTTGGTAGAGACGGAGAGTAAGACATGGCATTCGAATTTTAATCGAATATATTATTTATTAAACTGATATGAAGGGATTGGTTATGAACTGAAATCGGCTTATGTCTAATATTGGTAATAGTTGTGTAAGATGATATAACTTGGTGCAAATCTAGATTATTTTGTATTTTTCTCAATCATTTTTCTATCAATTATATATTCTAATACATTATTAGTGTTGTTTATCTCCATTTTAGATGATTATGATTATGCCTTTAGGATTTTCTGTTTTACCATTGTTACTCTTATCATTCGGTCCATTTAGCCTTTAACATAATTATTCTTGTCAAATGGGTAAATGGCATGAGGAAGTTTTGTTTGTAATAGTTGGGCAGCCTGTTTGTCCAAATAATGAATTTCCCAAAGCTGCTGATTAGACTCCAGTAAGTTTTATGACTCTCCTTGTGCTAACAAGGGCATTGTTGTTAGTAAGAATTGTAACAAATAATATAATAGAAAATAATTCTGAGGAAGAGTTTTCACAAACATTCTCCATGTACTGCCACCCTACTGGTGGCGCCATTTAAGTCCTACTGTAAGAGGAAGATTTGTTGATGCTCCCTTCCCCTTTTTAAAAGGAGGCTTCAGCTAAGGTAGCCATGTTAAACAAATTATCCCGAAGGTTTTATTGTTTTTATTCTCCATATTTTACTTTATTCTCAACTCTCATAATTCTGTTCCAAATCGATTACTTAGTTGAATCATCTCTAATTGTTTGGAGGACCATCTTCTTCATGCTTTTGATGGTAGTTTCTGTTTCATACTGTCCAAAACTTAGATCTTTGGTAGACTTTAGTCGTTTGGCATGCTTTTTATCATTCGTAATTTTCAGTAGCATTTTATTTTGGAAGTTATGATCCTTCAATCTAGGTAGGGCTGCAAATGAACCGAGCCGAGCCGAGTATGTGAGTGTTCATGTTTGTGTTCATTTAATATCAGCTTGTTCAAGTTTGATTCATGTTTGTTCGAGCTTTATTGTTTGTGTTCATGTTTGGTTCATTTAAATTAACGAGTGTTCATGTTCGATTCATGTTCAGTTCATGTTCGTCCGTTTAGTGCTTATCGAGCTTGTTCGCGAACATATTTAACCATTTTTTTAACTATCAAACAAACACGTTCATGAACACATATCTATGAACAAACACATTTATAATAAAAGCAATTATCTATGTAACAAAGGCAATGATTATTTATATTTATTAATTCTATAGTCAAATATTAATTATTTTTATTGAGCTTATTTACGAGTTCAAAATCGAACACGAATCGAGCTTGTTCACGAACTTCAAATGATGTTGTTCGCGAACATAAATGAGCCGAACGCATTAGTGTTTAAGTTTGTTTATTTAAGAATCGAGCATTTAAAATATTGTTCAAGTTTGTTTGTTTAGTTAATTAAACGATCAGAAACGATCTTTAATCAAACCGAACGAGTAGCTCGTCAAACGTTTGGTTCGCTTGCAGCCCTAAATCTAGGTGCAATGTATAATTCTTTTACTTGTATTCCCACTTGATCAAATTTATAGTTTTTTTATCAATTTTCCTCTGGCATTCTTTTGCTCATAGGGTAGTAAAGATCCAATTAAACTTTAACATAGTAAGTGGATAAATCTGTACTTATAAAATATAAAATAAAGTTCTCCTTGGCATCACACATTTTTTGATAAGCTTAGATATATCTTACCTACAAGCTCTTGTTTAGTGTATACTATTTCATTCTCTTATAAATTGTTGACAATCTTGTTTAACCTCATGGGTGTTTTAGATGATTTTTTTAGTTTCATCTTAAAAATGTAATATACTCATATATGCATGTCCCGATCTGGCCCGGAGGCCTGAATTATTGAGGCGAGAATAGACGGTTGGACGACTGATTAAATTTATTATTATTAAAACTATCACCAATAAACTAAAAAAGCCACTAAAACCTCTAAATAAAAAATAACATTAATTATATTTTCCTCAGAGCATTGCGCCTATGATACATATTATCTCTTCTACTCATTTTAAGCTTTGAATAATAGTTGTAATTATTTTTCAATAAAAAGAGTGAGTCAGCCGAGCTCGCACGAGGGAGGGAGAGAGAGAGTTCAACATGTAGTAAGCAAACGAGGAGTTTGTGAGCAGTAGGAATTGCGGTGGTTCGGTGGAGGCTATGAGCGGATAAGAATGTGATTGAGTGTGAAAAATCATCTTCGATTGAGATTTGCAATTGCATGCAACTGGGATGCCGATTTTGATTTTTATGGCACATTTAAATTTTAAGTTAGTGTTGTTTTGAATCTTCTTTCACAGTTTCTATTTATGTTAAGGTTTACTTTATGTTTCTTATTGTGTGATTTTGTGCTTTTTAATAATAAGCTAAGTTAACCTGCGGACAGTTATAGCATGTTTATAAACTTTTTTTAATTTAGGAGTTTTATGTTGGTTCGTGGCTCATGCCTCAAACTGTCTTGAGGTTTACACCTTATCTTGTTGGGGCGAAGCACCTTAATTTTTTATTTCACCTTTTTCAATCTGGCTAGATCATATCTGAATGCAAGTTTGAATGAGAATCTAGGTCTATTTCTGGCTTTAAAACTAAGCAAATCATATCTGTTTAAGTGTTTAAATTAAAAAGTAACCTAATACTTTTAACAACTGAGGAGTTAGAAGCTAAATTATCCTTCTTTATGCTAATCAAGTTGGAAAGACAAATTGCATCAACATTTTAGGATTTATTTGCCCTAACTTCATTCAAGGATTTCAAAAATTTTAAACTTTACCTTCTGAGTGAACTTAAAATGTATTCATTATATATCAATTTTGAATAGTTTAGTGTATCTTTTTTAAGTGGGCTTTTGTCCATATGATATTCAACTTGCATTTGCATGGATTGATATTTTTTAAAAGAATGTTTTATGGAATCTAATAAATATAATTTTAAGTTATCTTCATGCCTTCACTTACGAGTTATCTATAATCTATTAATTTACAAGCACTTAAGAATTTTTTCATTAATTGACAAGCATTAGACATCATATAGTATTGGATTACTAATTATTCATTTGCGTGATTTACATAAAAATATTGCTGGAAGCGCTTTGTTAACAATATATGTTAACAAATGGCATATGGACGTCAAGAACAGTGATAAAGTCATAACTAAGGTTATCTCTAGGAACTTATATGACATTATTGGTTAGAAAAATAAAAAAAACATGTAAAGTTATATAACAAATTGGGCAAATGCACAAACAAGTTTGCAATCCCAGAAAATTATAGTATAACTCTAACTATGATGTATCTAATTTGATTTTTTATCATAAATTATTGACTAATATTTTGGTTTTTTTCCAATTTCCTCCTAATTTCACACACAATGCATATTTTATACGTTTGCTAAATTTTAGTAACAATCTTCTCCCAGAAACTATGATTGTTGAAGAAATTGTGTCCAGTCTGATGGAAAATATCAGACGCACCACATAGGGGGAGAGAGATTCCTATTTATGATGATTCAAGGATTTATCTATGCCTAGATTTGTTTTATTAATTCCAACTAAACAATTCGTGAAAGTGAATGCATTTTAAGAAATTAGGCTTAGAGAAAATAATTTTAATTGGCTCTTTCTACGATTTTTTAGCAAATTTATTTTCAAGTATTCATTTCCTTAACACCGGTCAATAGTGCAATGTGGATGCCCCTATTTGGGTTGTGTACTTTGTACTCTTGAATTTTCAATTTATGGCATTTCAAATAATAGAGTTTGCAGCTGTACAGTTGAAAGTAAATCTTTACGGGAAATGTTGGATTTGGTGCACAAGGAATCAACTTCTTGCTCTTTGCCCTTTGCTCATTAATTTTTATAAACCACAATTATTTTTCCTATTTCATGATTACTTTCGGCTTTGCAAGCACATGTGGACTTGAAAGCTTGGTCCATTCCTTTTAGGTTGCCTCCTCTAAACCATTTTCTTATAAAACCTGAGGATACAGTCAAAATTGCACTGTCTTCCTATCTTTTTAATAAACTTGTTAAGGTTTTCTGCAAAATAGTTAGGGAATTTCCTTAATAAATATATCTGCTGTAGGTATTTTGATATGCCCCAGTCTTACATGAAATGACCAAAATAATTACTTCCTTTTATTGATGTAATAATTTTAACTCTTTTTGGCTGAAACATTTTGCTTATACTTTTTATATCTCCTTTCTTTTCAGTATCATCCTGGAGACCTCTCCAGCTAAATGGGCCTTCTGCATCTTTTAGTAGATGCTTCTGGTTCAGGTAAAAGCTATTCCTGATAGAATTTTTGTTAGAGTGATATTTTTCCTGCCTGTGCTAACTCGTGTGGGTGCTCCCATTAGAGCTTATCTATCAATTGGAGCTCACTCAGTCCTCACTGGATGTTGAATGGGTACTCCATGCCCATGCGGGCTGATCCTTATTTGCCATATCTTGAAATACCTGTACAAAAGTATAGATTTTATTTGGTTGGACTTGTATTGAAGCAGCTAGTTTTGCAGAATCCATCAGAATAATATCAAGATTTCTAGAATATTATTCAGGCGTCAAGAAGAATTTAACCCAGTTTAGTTTGTTATGATCAGAAGATTTAACTAATAAAAACTACCATCTGACTGCAGAGAAGGAAAGTCATTGAATTAACGATTGTGATGTCAAAATGAGTCCATTGATTTTTTGATAATGTTCTTTCGATTTAGCTGGAAAACTGCTTGTTATTTAGCATAATGCTCCTTCTATTATTGTATGTCAGCTGCGCATAAGTACATTTCATTAACCATGGTTAAATATCATGATATTCCCGTTGCCATGATCAAAATGGTTAAATAGAATGCGTTAAAACCACAAATTACATAAACTATTGTCTGATGGGAAAAGTAGAGTTGGTTTAATTTAGAAGAACCTCTCATTGTCATCACTAAGTGATTAATACATAAAAAAGATTGAATACAGGATTCGGGTATTCATCTTTCTTTCCCAGAGCATGTAAGCCCTTTTGTCCTGCTTTGTGCCTGGATCTAGGCCTTGCTTTCAAATTTGCTTCAAAGGAGGTTGCTAGCTTCCATTCCCTCTCCTCTCTTTTTTATGTCTAGAAAAAAAAAATAGTCTTCGAAGGTGTTGGGGTCTCACTGTTCGAATCGCTTTCCTTTTTATCCGACTGCATAGGCAAGATCTCATCCTTTGGCGAATCTTGGAGCACAAAAGAGTGCTCCCTACGACTAAAAATCGGGGTCCAAAGTCTATCTCTTTGACGACGTGGACATGGCCCATCATGTACGATTCGACAAGAGAAATTTAGAAGAACAATCCCCCGCTTATAACTATAGGATCCCGACCATCGACACTCATTGCACTAGCTTATAGGGCAAGATGAAGATTCGAAAAAAGGCTAAAAAGATCGTAAACTTCACCTTGGAATGCTTCCATCAGTGCTGAAAATAAAGCATTGAACGATAATAGAACTAAAGCATGACTGATGATGTGCCATTGTCTGAAGAGCTAAGAGAGAGTAGAAGTGCTTTCCTTCACTTTGAGCATGAACTATTTCAAGTTACTGCTATTCGAGGATGATTGCTTATGACATCAATCAGCTAGGTCTGTTTGTCGAATAGGCTGTCAACGCATGTGATGTTTCAAGTCAGAGTAAAGTGAAGGGTCTCGCTTGCAAGTTGTATCGACCGCCAATATGCCTTAGAAGTGGGTCGCATCAAGCAAGGATTTTTTTATGACCTCGTGCATTTCCAATTCCAAAGAATCTTTTTCTTTTCAAAAGTATATTTTTGATAAATAATCAAAATAGATCTCGTACACTGAAAGTGTAACAAACCTCTTTTATGATCTGAGTTATTACATCTCTCAAGAAAGGAAAAGCAAAAATTACAATCCCTTCTTCTATAGCTTGTCAAAAATTATTTAGTACGAACACACTTCTTGGTCGTCATTTAGCTACTCACCATTTCATAGTTTATTTATGTCGTTCCAGAAATGGAATTGTTATTCTAGATTCAGACAAGACACTTCTTTTTTTATGAAACATTTTTCATTTTAAAGGATCTCTTGTTCATCAAAAAGGTCGTTCCTTCTTTTTTAAGAACAAGAATTTCTTTCTATCTAAGATCATGGAATACATGGCGAGTTGTATCAATGATTCTCAATGGAGAATCGAGGCTTTTTTTGACTAATTATTGTTCAAGTCTGAAACAAATTCGTTTGAGAAAGAAAAGGATAAATGATTGGTCGAACCAACAACCTGATTGTGTAATTCTTCTAGATGCAGATAGAAAATCTTCGGCCATATTGAAAGCTAATCAGTCACAAATACCTATTGCATCCTTAGTGGATTTTACAATCCCATTGAGATCCTATTAAAGAATAACTTATAACATTCCAAAGTGTGCTCCTATATAGATCGCATATCTATTTCATCATTCGATCATGAAAATAATTATTCTTGAATGGGGAAGAATCGTTGCGTTGAGGGAGATTGCATGAGAAGAAAAAAACTCATCGATCAACCTTTTTCTAAGTCCTAGAAAAATTGGTTTTAGTTGATCGATTGATTGGTAAAAGACCCAACTAGTGGGACCGTTTTATGGATTGAACAAGAAGAGTCTTCGGGTGGATAGAACAAGTGCAAGCTTTGCACACAACAACGAACGTCCCAGGGAGGGACTCTCTTACGATGCAGAGAGCAAGCAAAGGCGAGTTTTCAATGTTGCATTTGTACTTGTTGCATGGTAGAAGAAATGAAATCATCGCCTTGATTGTAAAATAAGGTGATGCAGCAACCATTGTTTTTTTTTAGCCATGGAACAAGGGCTAGGGGAGTGTGTTTCAGAAGAAGGTTCTCCTTTCCGTGCACTCAGCAAGTCAGTTTGGTACTAGCGCATAATAGAAAGATAGGCCAGGATGTTACGGTAGGATACAAGGGTTTTGGCATATAGTCTCCGTATATTTGACAAATGTTGCAGTGTTTCACGGTCCATACAATTCTAGACCATTGCAAGCCATTAGTACCACATCTGTTTGAGCTTCACTCGCATCTTTGGCCCAAATTGATGGGGTATTATACACCCTTGACTGAACTTTGTACATTGCTTACCTCTTGCTTCATTACTAGACAAACATCTCATCCATAGCTAATCCTAATACTTTCAGTATCAATTTTCATTGAAATACACACACTGGGGCAATCTCCTTCGAAGCTGGGTTCTTTTGTTGCTTTATTTTGGCCATTCATCGTGTTGAAAGTGTAAGAAAAGAATGTCTCTAATTTTCAATAGAGACTTCCATGCAATGAGTCATTTCCACTATGGATGTTACAATCTTGGATAGGGGTGTAAGCGAGTCGAGTCGAGTAGTGGCGTTATCAAGCTTGGCTTGTCAGTCAGAAAGTCGGCTCGAACTCGAGCTCAAGGTCAAATCGAGCCCAAAAAAATGAACTCGAACCCGACTCATCCTTTTACTTGTTGGCTCGAGAGCTCTACTTGAGCTCGTGGAAGCACTCAAGAAGCACAACATGCATCACCACGGCAGTGTCGAAGAATAAATGAAGCTCGTCCATCTGCCCGTTGGAGAAGAAGAATAGTTTCTTTTTTCCACACGGAACAACAGCTTTACGGTAGCATTAATAATGAAGTGGACAATCTCTTTTTTTATATTTTGAGAGATGTGCATCTGCTGTAGTTAATTAATGGTGCATTTTTTAAATAACAAATTTGCAAAAAATTTAAATATGAAAACTTAAATTTAATTTTTAAATTATATAAATAAATAAATAAGATTATTTATTATCCCTAAATATTTGATAATCGAGTAAGCTCTGCTCGCGAGCTCGTTTCAACTCGAACCTACTCGTGAGCTAGCTGGCTCACTTACAACTTGATCCTAGATAAGTTCTTTCAGGTTTGGGAAAAGGACCTTGTTATGTATAATGACTTATGTTCTTCCATCGGGGGGTTGGTAGAGCGGCTACTAACTTGGCTAATGCGTCTGCCTTGTCATTCTTTTTTCTTTGCATGTGGTTGAATTCGAGTAGCTTGAACTGTTTCATGAGCTCCATAACCATGGTGAATTCTAGCTTGCGTACTTTTTATGTACACTAGAGCTGGCATATGATTCACTGTGAATCCTCGTAGATCATGAGGGCCTTTATACGCATTTGTTAGGCTATTTTCCTCTTGTTCTCATAAATCTACGGAGTAAGACACAAACTTCTCAAAAAGCTCAATTATAGTCATTATTGTATAATGGGCTCCCTTAAATAGCATTGACGCACGTGTAAATGAGGTTTTCTATTTAACTGAGCTATACCCCTTATCAAACCATTTTAACATAGAGACATTTTCTTGTCAAGGAGGGTATTTTCAATAATTCAACATGATAACTCTTTGATGCGTTTATATTTACTAGTAAAAGATTGATATTGCTTAAGAAATATATTTTACCTATGTTACATCAAAGTTATGGTGACCTTTTTTGTGGTGATAAATGACCTACTTAACTCAGTGGTTAGAGTATTGCTTTCTTATGACGGGACTCATTGGATCAAATCCAATAGTAGCTAGAACTTAATAGATACTAGATTCCATGGTATCTAATAAGTTTTTCTATTCATCTTTTTTTTTTTTTTTTTTTGGTTCTATCATCAGATTAATCAAATTAGAGTTCATTGTGTTCAATTTGTGGAATCAAGATTTATGTGCAGTGTATTAGAAATAATCATTTTGATTTTGATTGAATGTATTGACTATTAATAGGAAATCATTTTGACAACAGCTACTTGTGTCCTAGCTCATCTAAGAGATAGAATTGCCTCAATTGCGATTATGCTACTGATAAACATTGAATGTTTTCAATCCTTCTATTTATACTTGTTAAATCTAATTTGCCAGTGGAGAGATTATATTCTAATATTTTTTTTATGAAACCAGGTCAACAAGAGGACGAAAGCTTAGAACTGTGCTTGAGAAACTCATTCAGTTGGAACTATTAGTTTTTTATTTCGTTTGCTTATTTTTTAATATGTAATTTCTGGACGGATTTATATAAACATCTGCAATACTTCCTATCTGTGAATAGAGCAGAAATCTAATCTGGGTACGAATTATCTTGTCTTTGAAGAGTGACTTTGATGAGGCCATTGGTCATTATTTTTATTTCATAAATTTATTTAACTAGCTAACCTGTGCTTACTGTTTTAAGCTTGCGTATCTGCGCTATTGAAGGAGACCTGTTATGTTATGTTTGTTTTGATCCCCAAATGCAGTAGCTTTAGCTTTTTTATTTGAGCCTTGGTACAAATTTTGAAGTTGTTGCCTGCCATTTGATCGGGAATATTATTAGGTGCGGTTATCGGATGTAGAGATATGTCCGGACATCCATTTAAAATTTGACACGTATAGTGCACTTTGGTTGCACATTTTTGTGCGCTTTACCTGTGTTTTATCTGCACTTTAGTTGTGCTTTGACTGCTCTTTTGTTTTGCTTTTTCTATGCTTGTTTTGTATTTTACTTGCGCTTTACCTGCACTTTAGTTGCATTTTAGTTGTGCTTTGTTTAAAATTCTGTGACACATTAAATATATAAAGTAAAAAATAAATTCAATGTGTCCACTTCACGTATCAACATTTTATTAGAGTTCGGACGTACATCCATGTCTGGTCTTTGCTCCTAATAATTTTCCCATTTGATCACCTAAGTTTTTTTTTTTTTTTTTTTTTTTTTTTGAGGAATGATTGAGTAACTAAGCACCAATTTATTGTAAATGCGATTTTTTTTAAATTTGCTAGCAACATTTGTTAAACTTTTTATCAATTAAATTAGTTGACGTTGAAGATCTATTTATGACTGTACTTAGCTATCTTGTGATAGGGAGCTTGACTATTGAAGTGTTTTGATTGAGTTTGAAATTTGATCATGTGAATGTACGTTTGTGTTTAAATTTCTTTTTTTTTTTTTCTTTATGAACAAGAATGTATCGTCTAGTGTTAAATATAATAAAAGTAAATGACAAAACTTCGGTAGGTTTTATTATGTTTGGGTGGTTTAATAACTAGAGAGAATTTATTTTTTTTTAATTGGAAAATATGTGGTTGGATTATGTTAAAATTGATTTTATTATTATTATTATTTTTTGTGCGGAAATTATAAAGAGAGTAGCATCTGTTTTTCAAAAAAAATAAGTGTAAATGAGTTGAGTTGAGTAATTTGAGTTTGAGTATGATTAATTTAGGTTTTGTTTGGGATAATTTTTTGACATTATTTTTTTATTGCTTTCAAGAATTTTTAATTAAAAATTTGTTTTAAAAAATAATAAAGAAAGTTATCTTAAATGAAGCCTTAGTATGAGGTTGAACTTGAGTTTAAATTTGTATTTTAATTCCTATATAATATTAGATCTTTTTAGTATTTTTTTTATATTTCAATTTTTTATTTTTCATATATTTTATATTAATATTTTTTTAATGAGTTGGTTTGTGAGTTAATGAGTTAAGACTATCTTAAGTTTGAATTGGTAGCTCTTGAAAATCTTATAATGAGTTATTTATTGAGTTGATTTGATTTACTTTTGTCCCTATCTTTAAATTTGAATAGTCTTGCCTCTTATTTGCAATCGTATTCTCAACACTTCATTTGATGAGGCTTCTTTCTCTAACATTCTCTGGTTGCGTGGGCGGAATCCTTCTTTTAGGACTTTTTTCTTTTGATTACTTCGTGGACTTGCCTCAGGTTTCTTGGTATAATTTCTTATGGCATAAAAGGCATACCTTTCATTTCTACTTTTATATGGACGGCATTGTTGGAAGAGCTTAAACATATGACATTTTGCTTAAGTATAATATTGTCACAGACCCATTTTGTTCTTTATGCTCCTCCAATCTGGAGAGTCACACTAATTTTTTTAGTGTGATTTCTCTTTTTCGGTTATATCGGCTTTGTTGCTTTTTTATTGAGATGTTTCAATTTGTGGAGGATTCTCAGACCAGTATGAGCCCTAGCAAAAATTTCTATTATCTTATTATTTCATGCTCTCTTTGTTTCATTTGGAAGGAGAGGAATGATAGAAAATTATGCTCTATGAGTTGCAGCTCATCTACTATTGCTTTCAAGATTAAAAAGGATATGCTATCTTTGCTGCTTTCTTGCCTCCCTTCTTGATGATTCGCTGATTTGGATTGTTGGCTATTCGGGTTCTATTTTGTGGGACTTTGGATAGTGGTCCTTTATTGGAGTTTTGATGGATGGTCAATTCTATTGTTTTGGCTATTGTGTTCATTCTATGTTTGGTTGTTGTTGTTTTTTTTTTTTTTTTTCATTGGAGCCACATCTCAATGGTTGGTTTTGGGTTTTAATTGAGTTCTATGCGCTTGGCTGCTTCTCGGTTTGGTCTGTAGATGCTCTCTCTAGTTTTTGTTTCCCACTCGATTCCTTCTCCCATTTGCAACACAAATTCGACACTGGTGGACTATGAGGAATGACAGACATCTCATCTTCTGCTCCGTCCCCTGTGTCGCCTTCATGGCAACCAGTCTAATTTCTTTTCGTGAAAGTTCTTTGGATTGTTAGGGGAATTGTTGTCGTTTTCTTTTTGGGATTTTTTACATACATAACACTTAAAACTATGTTATTTACTCATCTAACACCTAAATTTTACTATTTACTATTCTACCATTTAAAACCCCTCACGCTCATCAAAAATAGCACTCCGTCAAACTCAAACACCGAAAGTTCGTTGTCCGAAACTTCTTCGCTAACATTGCCTCCTACTCGCTCGGTCGGCTGTTTTATTCATCTAGATATGTTTTGCTCCATTTTCTAATCTTGTTTTCCTGTTCGTCAATCCCATTTAGCTCGGATTTGCCTTCGACATCCCCTCCCCGATAGATCGCCTAGGTTTGATGTTCTTCCCCAAGTTTTCTACCTAGGTTTGTTGTTCTTCTTCCATTTGATGCTCAATATCTCATTTTCATGTAGGGTAACCATTTAAACGCCCATACCCTACTTTTTGGAGAAGGAAATCATCAGAGACCGAGAGCTCTGGATAGGCATCTTCTTATTCCGAGCAATTTTCTAAAGACCAAGTTCGTTTTAGGTGTATCATGAGTTCATATAAGAGTTCCAGAAATCAATACACTCTCCTACATGAAGCCATATACTGTTATCAAATTGGCTTACAACGGTATAGATAAAAGGTTCTATATAAGAGTTCTCATGATCTTTCACAATAAAATATGCATTAGAAGCAAAAAAATCAAATCTAATCCCAAAAGCTAAAGTCCGGTTTGCGACTTAAGTGTAAACTAAAATATCAAATCTGCTTACAACAACTTCTGGAGTTGTTTGAGTTGCTAGACTACAGGATTTTGGCAACGTCATTTTAGCAAAGTGACTTCATCAAAGTGACTTCAGGAGTTGCCGAAGATAGATGAGCAAATGCCGAAGGAAGATGCGTTTCGACGGGAGGCTATGGGCTTTGTTCTTCCCGCGCCCAAACAAGCTTGCGAACAGATATTCGAACCGGGGTTTACGGAGAGGAGACGGAGTGGCTTTTTAGAAAAGTAAAAAGCTTTTTAGTGGTATGTGTGTAAATAGATAAGTTTAGGTGTTAGATAAGTAAATAACATAGTTTTAAGTGTTATGTATGTAAAAATCCCTTCTTTTTCTTTTTTTATATATATAGGGATGTCCATTTCCATAGCATTTAAAGTTTCACTAGGGTTTGACCACCTTATGCCTTTTTTTTTTTTTTTTGACTTAGGTTCGTTTGGGTTTTTGTATACACATTAACATATTTCTTTTTTCTTTTAGTATATAGTTGGATATATTTAGTTATTCTTTAAAATCTATAATTATTTTATAAAGTGAAATGAATTTGAGCTTGCTTTTTTAAAATAAAAATAAAAAACTGCACAGCCATGAGAAGCCATGGGAAAACAAACAATTGTGGGCTCAGATGGGGCCTTTCACATCAGCAGGCGGACATCATGATGTTTTGCCATGTAATATCAACTCATACAGCGCTACTTAGAAGATGAAAAAAAAAAAGATGACTGTATGAATATAAGGTTTTATACCAGAAAATTTTGACTTTACATGACCCATAGTGATAAATATTCTCATTATTTTCTTAAATAAATATTTCAAAAAAAATATTTCATACAATTTTGTATTATGAATTGCTCAATCAATTTTAAGTCTTCCAAAATTGATTTAAACTAGTTCAAATTTTGAACATAGTTTCAACCCCGGTTTAAGTTTTAATTTTGGTTTGAACTTTGATTTGAATCTCAATTCAAACTTGATTTGAGTTAAGTTTCGAATCATGTTAGAATGCTCATTATAGATCTTTCATCTCTCATAACTCGATGGGTGAAGGCATCCACAAGAGTGATTACATGGAGATCACGACTTAGGGGAACCATCAAAAGGATCGATGGCATATGAAGAAGAAGTGAAATTCACATTATCTAATTGCGTAAAGGCTTTGATGGGAGTGACAACATTAAAAAAAAAAAAACATGGGTTTGCAATTAGACGTTGCTTGGGGCAGGCTTCAACGACACAACTGGTATTTGAGGAGAAGATAATTTTACTAATAAAGCATCCTTAAAGGCCACCTAAGAGATCGACTACTTCTATATGTGATCGGGATAAAAGGAGTTTCTTGACGAAGATTATTCGGAATGCATTGTTGGTCATGCGACATGTGAAGTAGAAGAGAAATTTATTACAAGTGATCGCTAGTAGTTGACTTCAACAAAATTGTCAGGAAGGATATATTGGCAAAGACACCCTAAGCTTAGTGGCATTCAATAGAACTCTATATAAAAGATATTGTGGAATAGATAAGATAAATTTGCATTATATTTTAATAATAATTCAAATTTGAACCAATTTAGGTCGTTATCGAATTCAATAAATATTTCATAAATATAAAAATAATAATAGTTTTATCTAAAAATAAATATTCATATTCCCTTTAAAAAAAATAAACATTATAGATATTATAGATATTAGTATATTACTATAAACTAGAAAGCATGCACCCTCTGCCCTCTTGCTTGCTCTTGCTGCCCGTCACCGACAAACTCCGAACGGAGCAACGGGCACAAAGCAATTATCACCGTCTGCGTGGCGCTTCCTGTAGCCGCCTTCCTTCTAGTATCATTCTTCCCTGCTCGACCAAGCAACCACCCAAACGTCTTCACGCTGCCCGAAACATCGCCATCGCCTTCTCTCTCTCTCTTCCTCTCTCGGGAAACTAAAGATTCTGATGGGCGGGTCCCGCACAGCCGACAAAATTCCTTCCGTTGTCTTGAACGAGCCGCCTTCTATCGCCGGGTTCGCGCTGACTGACCCGCGGTCTTCCCGTACGCGCGGCGAGGCCAGGCCTTGTAGGATATGGGTCCCACCCTTTTTAATATATAATTAATTTAAAAATCCAAATATATAATACAATATTAATTTTAAAATACATTTAACGAGCAACTCAACAGGCTTAAGCAGAGGTAGGCTGAGCTTGAGTTTGTTTAATATACAAGTATGAGTATGGGCTCGAGCTCAAACTAGTGACTTGTAAGTGGGGGTGTCAAGTTTTGACACGAGCTGAAATCCGACCCAGACCCGACCCGAAAAAATCCGGGTTCGGATCGACCCGTTTGTGAAATGGGTCCGGTTCGGGTTGACCCGACAACCCGGAGTTGACCCTTTTGACCCGGAAAATTGACCTGGCGCTTTGGTGCTCCGCCTAGCCATGCCTCGCTCTGTCGTGTAAGGTCGCCAAGCTGGTGAGGCCAGAGGCCTCCGCGTTGCGCCATGCCTCACTCCGTCGCTTCAGGTCACCAAGCCAGGTTCGATCTGACGAAGACGGAAGACCACTCCGCCCGTCTGCCGCTTGGCCCTATTCCCCTCGACTACGTCGTGCCTGCGTCGCTTGGCCTTATTCGTCTGCATCGCATCGCGCAGTCGCCTCGTCTTCGAGACGTAGGGATTGCACCCGTGGGTTCGCAGGTCGGATTGGGTCAACCTGGTAACTCGCGCGGGTAGTCTTCGGGTTGGATATTCTGACATGTTTAGCTAAACTGGTCGGGTTCGTGTCAATCCGTTTACGTCCGGATCAACTCAGGTTGGACCCGAACCCGACCCGTTGACCCGAATTGAAACCCCTACTTGTAAGCTCAAATGTGAGCTGGCTCGGCCCACTTAGGGCTCCTAGTTGGGGGCCTTGATTCTTATGTGGAAGATAAGAATTAATTATTAATTAATAATTGTTAAATTATATTTGTTAAAAAGATATTTGGATAGTAATTCAAATATTATTGGGTTAATTCGTAATGCATGGGATAAACTTCACCCACATTAACGAGAAGGGGCTTCGTTAAATGAAGAAGTTTATTTTTTAATATAAATTATATTAAAAAAAACAAATTCAATTTATTTACAGTGAGAATTTTGCTGAGGCCAAATAATGGCAAACAAGAATAAAAGAAAAAAAACATGTTAAGAATTTAATGTAAATTGTAGGAAAATAAATTTGCAAATTCTTAAATTTCTTTTAAGATTAATGCATTATAATTTTCTTGAATAATGTTAATATATAAATATATTAAATTATTGTTAAACTTATCTTAACATAATTTATATAGGAATATTTAGGGGTGTCAATTTCGGGTCACAAGTCGGGTTGGGGTCGAACCCAAAATTGATCCTGCACTATTCGGGCCGAACCCGACCCATTTTTACAAACCGGCCGATTTTCCGGACCTAAACCTGACCCGCTTCGGGTCAGGGTCAACTAGACCCGACCTGAATGACCTACTGCCAACAAAAAACTTATAGTTTTCGGGTCCAAAAAATGGGTCAATCTCCACTTTTTTTTGTCAAAAACAAGTCAAAATATGATCAATCTCGGGTTGTCAAGTCAAAATGGGTTTTCAGGTAAAAAACGGGTCAATTTCTGATCAATTTTGGGTCAAAGGGTCAACCCAACCCAATTTTTGAAACCGGTTTAAATGTTGAACCCGACCCATTTCGGGTTCGGGTCAATCCAAACCCAAAATTTTTGGGTCGGGTTCAGGTCAAATTTTCGGGTCGGGTCCAATATCAACACCCCTACGAATATTTAATATCATTTTTTTCAAGAATAAATGATGATTTTCTTGATTAAAAAATCAATCGAATTCACTAGAGGATTGCACAAGGCTCTATGGACATGGAATGTAGTTCATATATTTTCGGTCTAAAATTTTATTTGTGACAACTTTCTTAATGTTTCACAAAATTATTATAGATAAAGTAATTTCTTAAAGTTATTGTAGAAAGCAGTTTTCTAATATACATTTTTTTTATAGCAACGATAAAATTGTGACTATATAGAAATTATGGCTGTTGTCTAAAAAACAAAGCAGTAAGAAAGCTATCTCAAATGAAGCCTAAACGATTCATTTAAAATAAAACAACATTTAAATTTTACATGTAAATGATTTAGACATTTTGCAATTTAGATTTAAGGCATTAAAATGTCAAAAATAAAAATGAATGAAGAGGTCTTATCATGAGTATCTATTGGAGTGTCCAAAACTATGTAATAAATTTAGGAATAAATTTTGTTTCTTTGTATTCAGGGGATGAATGTTAGAACTAAATTAGGGGGGAAAATATTCATCTTTATAATGTGAACAAATAGATTTTTTGTAAATAACAGTTTCCTCTCTAATCATATTCTTAATGCAATCAAAATAACATAATTTTAATTCATTGGATATGTACGTGAAATCATATGATTTTAATCCCATTAGATTAGTCTCGTCTAAGGGTGTAAACGAGTTGAATTGAGATCAAGTTATAGAAAATTCAAACTTGTTAGTCAAAATAAATGACTTGAGCTTGGCTTATCCTTTTATTCCTAGGCTTGGAATTGACTCGAGAGGAAGTTAGGATAGAAGCTTGTTGTTAGGGCTGCAAGCGAACCAAACGTTCGACGAGCTACTCGTTGTTCGGTTCGATTAAAGCTCGTTTGTGATCGTTTAATTAACTAAACAAATAAACTTGAACAATATTTTTAATACTCAATCCTTATATAAACAAGCTTGAACACTAATGTGTTCGGCTTATTTTCCACGAACAAAATCATTTGAAACTCATGAACAAACTCGATAAAAGCTCGATTCGTGTTCGATTTAGAACTCATAAATAAACTCGATAAATGTATTCATATAGATTAATCATATTTTCATTTTAAATAGACTACTACTTTTATTATAAATTTAATTTCATTTTATTTTATGCCTTCAATGTAATGAATTTGTTCATCAACAAAAGATATTTCACATTTGTCAATGTTTGCTAGATTGTTTGTTTAAGATGTTCATGAACAAATAAAAGATGATTCATAGATCATTTGTTCGTAAACAAGTTTATTTGGTAGCTCAAAAATACTAGTTATGTATTTATTCATGATCTTGCTTATTTGATATCTCAAGAATACTCATTAGAATTGTTCATGAACGTGCTTGTTTGATATTGTAAAAAAATTGCTAAATATGTTTACGAACATAGCTCATTAAAGCTTGTCTGTTTAAAGCTAGATAAGAAATAAACGAACCAAATATGAACCGAACATAACCAAACAAGGACACCATTAATTTAAATGAACCAAACATGAACGCAAATAATAAGGCTCGAATCAAACACGAACCGAACTTAAACAATCTAATAATAAATGAACTCAAACATGAACACTCACATACTCGGCTCGGCTCGGTTCGTTTGCAGCCTTACTAGTTGCTAAAAAGGCTTCAGCAAAGCAAGTTCTAGTTTCAGCTTAAGATGAGACCCTAAATATGTACCTTAATTGAGTCAACTTGGGAGCTCACGAGCCAAGTGTAGTCAAGTTTGAACTCAAGTTTGAGTTTAAGCTCAGCATGTGACTCAATAAATATGACTCCTGAGCTTGTTAGTGAATGGAGTTTGAGCAGTTTCATGAGCCAGCCCTAATCAATTACATCCCTAAACCCATCACAACTTGTATTATCATGATTATAAAATTTCTAAAATCAAAATCCAAATGACTTCAGAAGTAATTTTCAATTTTTAATTTTTTTTGTTTTTTAATTAAAAATGCAAACAAGATTCTTCTTGACCAGATTAATTTGACAAATCTATATAAAATTGATATAAAATAAAGAAGTCCATATAAATAAATATAAAATTCATGAATCAAACAATCAAGTCCAATTGAGCACAATTTAGTCATATTAGTTAGGGACGTAAATAAGTTAAGTCGAGATCGAGTCACCTCTAATTTAAGCTTGAGCTGATTAATTAATCTTACAAATTAGAAGTAGATTTCTCACTTGTCACTATATTCAGATCACCCGGACCCACATGGTAAATATATTTTTTGTGACTACGGCTAAGAGAGAAGAACAAACCAGGAGAAGCGTATTTTTGCAAACTTCAAATTGTGATGGCGATAATTGCAAAATATCCCAGCCGCAGCAGGCCATTGGGTTTTGTCGTTTATGTGGACCACAGACGGGCCGGAATGGGCCCATAACAGCCAACAGCTAGAAATAGCCCTAGCCCCACCCTTAGCAATCGGCCCACGGAAAAATATTCCAGTTTTCCTCAAACCACTATTCATAAAAGTGGTCGATCCATGCCATTGTGGGCCCGACTTCTCTGCTTCCCCACCCCTCGAATCCTTTGCTCGAAATTTCTGTGGCTCAATCCAGTTTCTCTCTCTAACACCCTCTTATTTATAACAGAGAATGTGAGGAGTTCTCCGCGCGCTCTCTCTCTTCTCTCTCTCACTGCTTGCTTCACAAGAAACAGCTTCTTTTGAGAAGAACTTGGTGTGCATGGATGGAGATCACTAATGGCCACCAGTACCAGGTAAAACTTAAAACCAAACAATCAAAGCCTCTTGCTCTTTTCATTTGTGGCATGGATCTCTTTTCCATTATCGGATCAAATATTTTTGTGATCTTTAGTCTGAAAGAAGTTATCCATGATTCTGTTGTGCTTTTTAGTCTCTGGATCTGTTTATTTCTTATGATCTGCAGTTCTTTCTGCATCTATTGCTAAGATTTTCTTAATCATGGAATGTGGAATTTAGGCTTGATTTGACAGAGCCTCAATTTCTCTTTTGAATTAAACTTTTCTGTCAAAGCATAAAAAAAAAAAAAAAAACTCCCCCTCAAGAAAATAAGGTTCAGATGATTTTCTGATGCAGTTTACTCGCTTCTTACTTTTGTTTCATACTTGATAATTTCTTCTGATAAAATCCAAATTTGATTAATAAAAGCTCCATTTATGTTTTCCTTCAGACAATGACAAGCTACCCTCTGAATGAAGTTGCACCAGTTCTGAGCTGCCTTAAAACAGCAGCATCCTCACCTTATCAGCTTCATCAGGGGATAAATCCAAGCGCTCAGTTTCAATTTCAATCAGAGTCTCAGCAAGCATTGAAATGCCCAAGGTGTGATTCACTCAACACAAAATTCTGCTATTACAACAACTACAGCCTCTCCCAGCCCAGATACTTCTGTAAAAGTTGCAGAAGGTATTGGACTAAAGGAGGCTCTCTCAGAAATATCCCTATTGGAGGAGGTTGTAGAAAGAACAAGAAACCGGCTTCTTCTTCAACCTCCCCCTCTTCTTCCTCGAAGAAAATACCACTTACTCAAGTTAACCCTAACTCTAACCTTGACCTCGGTCATGGCTTCCTCGACGTATTGAGGAGTGGGTTTGTGGGGTCCGCCAATACAACAACCACTGCCATTGGTGGGATTCAAAGCCACTGTTATGGGTTTGGTGGTGATAATGGAGTCACGCTTCCTTTTGATGGTGGACTAATTAGTGTCAGTAATAGTACTACTGCTGCAGCAAACGCTAGTGCTGGTGCTAGTACTATTCGCCATGAAAACTGTTGGAGTGGATTCTTCAATGGCTTCTCTAACGAAATTCATGATGGTCATTTTTGAAAGAAAAAAAAAACTTTTTTTCTCTTATATTAATTAGGCTTCAGATGTGTTTGTGTTTTTTTTTTTTTTTTTTTTTTTTGAGCTTTGGATGTGTTGCTTCAGTCTTCTTGTGTTATTTTGTGTTGGGTGAAATGATAAAGTATTTATATTGAATGAAACGTTTTGATCTAAGCCATCCTTTACTCTTCAAGACTTTTTATATTTGGAGAAATCTGAAGTTCTCTCAATTCAACTTTTATTTGTATTCTTATTGGTAGATAGTTTAAATTTTACTATTAAGGGTTTTTTTGCATTTTTTTTTATTTTTTAATATTTGTTCATTGTATTTTTTTCAACTGAGAAATTATTCTGTGCGGATGCCGACCGACATCCAGAGATCAACCATAATGTGTCATGTCAACCATTTGTTCGATATCGTGGCTCGGTACTGCTCAACATCGCTCATTCGCTTGGTACAGTAGCTTGGTACCGCTAACATGGTTGCACATGATTCACTTATGAATATAGAGCTGTGTCCGACTTCGGCATAAATTAATTTCTCCATCCCACCTCACAATTTGTTGTCATCGTCACCGTTGACCGCTAGCTCTTTCATCTTCTTGATAAGCACTGGGGAAGTGGCTTGCCAACAATCATGATAATTATCAAATAAATCAAATTAGTAGATGTTTTATTCAATATAAATATAAATAAAATATTTTTAATATACTAAATATATTTTATTTTAAATAAACATATAAAAAAATAAAATATCTTAAATGACTTTTATAATTTTGAAAATTAAATTTTTATATGAATTTACGATTCAAAATTTCATTGTCTTTAAAAGAATCCTTTGAATTCATCTTCGCACAGTGCTCTTTTAGTTTCACAGGCAAACAATTTTTTTGGTAGAGCACAAATTAAATTTTGTAAATATTCTTTCAATTTTTTCCACTAATGCTTGAGACGGATGTTAATTGGTAGCATTAAAAAAATTTATTTAAATTTGATATTTTAAAAAATAAATTTAAAAGAATAAAGAACTTATAATTTATAACTCATATTCTAAAATTTTCGAACGATTTCTTTATTATTGATATAATTAAATATTTTTCCTCAATATAAATAATTAAAATATCATTCATTCATCTTTTTTTTCTATTTTTAATAGATTTATAATAGTACTAACAGAAAGACTAAAGAAGATTAATTTAAATTAGCTCACATAGTTCTAAATATTTTTTTAAAAATTAAGAGTTATCAGAGGATAAATAAAAGAATAAAGCAGATTATTGATAATTATAATTTAATAAAACAGATTTTATATATATATATACAAGGTTGTGAAAACCGGACCGGACAACGAACCGGAAGAAGGAGAGGTTCACGGGTCGACCGGTCGAACCGGGGTCGAACCGGTCGAACCGGTTAACATAATAAATAATAATATTATTAAAAATTTAAAAATAAATGAGAAGTTTTCTTCTATTACATTCACTCTAAACCTAACCTTGTTGCACCTAATCAAGATAAACATTCAGATTTAAGAGGAACTATGCACATATTGCTATCTTGTTCAGCTATAATTAAACTAAGATTGTAAAAAATGCAAATTTTACCTTGGAATTAGATGCCTGGTTTGATTCATAAACATATTAATATACAAATGCAAAAAGAATAAAGTAAACCAAACAGGAAACTGCAGCAAACTGATTCAATTTTTGGAAAGCAAACAGCAAACCGCAACATTCAGTAATAACAAAGGAAAGCAAACAGCAAAGCAAATGGCGAATGAAACCGATTAAAAAAATCTGTAGAAAACCTTGGTTACCTCTTTAGCCTGTAACTAATCAACTTATGACTTAAAGCAAGTTGTAACCATTTAATTAGAGAAGAAAGAAAACCTGTAGCTATTAGGTCTTCTTGCTAACTAGGAAAACATAAGAGAAGAAGAAAAAATCTCAGCTCTCGAACCTTCGTTTGCTGCAAATCGCGAATGAAACTGATTAAAAAAAAAACTCACCTGCAAACAAATCCCCAAACAAAGGCCATCATTGTCCGACCAAAATGAGAGAGGAAAGCATGCCCTAAACAAAGAATAACCTGCAAATGACGTGCGCACAAAAGAAGAGGTCTTTATTCTCTCCCGGCTCCGTCTTCGACTCTTCGTTCGTTCGAATCACACGAGAGAAAGAAGGAAAAGCGAACAGAGGAAACGAAGCACGCGACGCGACAGAAATGAATTAGGGTTTTTTTTCGCATAAAGAAGCATCATCATCGCATCTCAGCCGTCAGATTTATCATTTTCGCCAAAATGGCGCGTTTGCTGAACCGGCCGGTTAGCAGAAACCGGGACCGGTTCGGCGGTTGAACCCCCGGTTCGGGCGGGTGGATGCCGGTTTTATGATTTACCGGTTTTGGTCTGAACCGTAACCGGCCGGCCGACCGGTTCGCGGTTCAACCGGTTGAACCGACCGGTCCGGTCCGATTTTAAAAACATTGTATATATATATATAATTTTTTTCTCTCTCTCTTGAGGATTGAGAGTGAAGGATCTATGGTCTCACAGCCCTTTTTTTTTTTTTGGTAAAAATGGGGGCAAAAAGCCTGTATATTAATCACCCAGTGTTGCAAAAATCAAAACAGGCAATTACAAGTATAGAAATTATACCACCCAAAATCTAAAAGGAAAAAGAAATTTTGCGAGAGAAAAAGCGGACTCGGGAAAATACGGTCTACATCGTAATGACATCATTGAACATATCATAGTAATAAGCAACGAATCCAACAGAAGAGACAGGTTGTTCGAAGCCAAAGAAGACGGACCATCACAGCGCCTATGTAATAAACTTCAATAGATTTCCTGGTTGCCATAAGACCATCCAAGGATGCTGGAGAGATGTAGACCTTTGCTCATCATCGTTCCAAAAAACAAAAAAAAAAAAAAAAAAAAAAAAAAAAAAAAAAAAAAAAAACAGCTAGCAATTGAACCGAGATAGAGCTGGAGAATGAACTGCTGCAAGAGGCCCAAAAAAGTAAAACCCTCCCATAAGTGAAAATTGGCCTCAACATAACAGGAACAATCACATCACAGACGTTTACCACGCCAACAGCGACCAAATGGATAGGCCACAGAACCCGCCGCTGCTTGTCCGGATGGTGAAGAGCCGGCGGGCAAAGCCTAGGTCCCTGGTTCGAATCCCTTGGCAAGCAGTGAAAGCCTTAAGTGTTGGCCCGTGTAAATTGGTGTGGGTTGCATGCAATGTCGACCGGGGTTTTTACTGGCCTAAGGACAGTACTTCCTCGTAAAAAAAAATGACCACAGAAAGTAGAATCGACATCAAACAGATATAACGCGCCCAGCCAACAACTAGGAGCAGAAAATCAGCCCAGAATTTCCACAAAAATTTCCTTAAGTTGCTCATAATATTTCCACTGCTTTTGTTTTAGCACAAATAGCATTAATAATAGCATCTTTTAAATCATTTGGACTCCTCCAAACATTGGATCCCACAGCCCTTAACTCCGTCGATGGTTTCACAAAAATGTTTTTTTTTTAAGATACGTTCTTCAGAAATTTCGAATTTCGAAAAGAAGAATAAAGTGAGTTTTTTTTTTTTTTTCCTTTTAGTTAAGTTCAAAAGCTTTAGGCAATTTGAGTTGTAGAAAGAGCGATAAGAGGTTGGAACATTGAAATTTTATTCTGTATATGTGTGTATATTTATACTTTTTTTTTGGGACATTTTGTGTATATTTATACTGCCAAAATATATTTTTTCACTGGAATTTGAACCTTTCAGTATAATTATTATTTATCTTGATTACTAACGACCTATGGGAAGGAACTTTTATTACGTCCGGTGCAAGGACGTAGAGGAACGTCCGATCGGAGGCAATTTCCTGTCAAAAAACTAGGTATTTGCTCGGTACAACTAGGTATTATTTGATAATAATGAGGAATACCGTTCTATGAAGACCAATATCGAGTTATACCAAGCGATACCGAGAAATACCGAGTTGTACCGAGTTTTTCTGGGAAAAACTCGGTACAACTTTGGTATAACTCGGTATTTGCTCGGTAAAGCCGGTATAAATCGGTATTGGGTCTTCAAATGATGATATTATTCGTTATTGTTTGATATTGCTCGATATTTGCTCGGTACAACTCGTTTTTTGGCGGGAATTTGCCTCCGACCGGACGTTCCTCTACGTCCGGTCGGAGGAAGTAATAATTGTTCTATGGGAAGAGAGTGTAAGAATGCCAACGGTTGGCCGGGACTCATATCAGCATATAGGTCACGCACTCACATATTTATATCTATATTGATTTTCATGAAGAAATAATAATTTTCTGCACATTGTTAATTACACATCAGCTAAAATTTTATTCTACTAAATATGAATCTCAATAAAATCTTTAAATTAAAAATATTTAGAATTATATTTGAGATTATCTGAATTTTGATTTTAATAAATTTATAATCAAATTGAATATTTTGATGAAATGAATCCGACAGTATAAGTGATATGATCTAAATACAAATAAGAATAAATCAAGCACATTTAAAAATTTTGAAATATTAATTAGTGGATTATATGTCTTTCAAATATTATGTGCTAATAGTAAAATTGAGTGTCTTGGCAAGAAAAATCTAACGAGCTTAAGATCAAATAATTGTAATATACTAAATACTAAAAGAATGTGTGATCAAGATAGTTAATGAGTTGCACACTAAATTTTTTTGAATTTTAACTATATAAAGAATATAACCCATAAAATTTGTAAATAGGGTCACAAAGTTGTATATGAAGAGAAAAAAGCTACAAGAGATCGGGGAGGCCTCAAATGTTTTAAGAATCCTAGTGCTTCGCTCGATTGCCCCCATCTAACCTCCTCGTACCTCCTCTCAACTACCGCCAACAAACCATTGCTCGACCACAATCTTGAAAAAAGTTGCTTGGCCACCACAGTTGGACCACGACCCAACCACCATTTTCTTAACATCACCCACCACCACCATCAAAATATTGTCTGACCTCCATTGTTGAAACAACACCCAACAGTTGTTGTCAAACCAACGCCTTTCAAGAATGGCAAATGATTGTCATTGCCCAATGCCTCTATCAAACCACCACTTAACCATCATTGTTGAATCATGGCCCAATCGTTGCTACATTGGACTACTGCCCACAATTGCTTTCAAATCACAACACGACCACTTCTGCGAAACACTATCTAATCGATTTCATCGAAACACAGCCCAATCGCCACCCGATCATTGATGCCATATGACCACTAAATGTTTCAAAAATAAGTTTTTTTATTAAAAATATATTAATAATTACGAATTGATTAAGGATTACCATATTCAATAGTGAAAAAATTAAAGTACTTAAGCTAACTATTTATTGAACATTGGTCCATTTAAAAGAGAATTATTTCATTAATTAACGCAGCTAAAAGTTATTAAGTACTAATGAGTATTAAATTATATGCCTATAAGTAAACTAGTTTGGCAAATTAGCTTATACTTGGTCTTGATACATTTTCACAAAATTCACTTCATCGACATGAATCTCGAGAGAATATTCAAATTAAAATTTATGAAATTAAAGTATTTTCCCCCGATAAGTTAATTTCAACAAATTTACAGTCATATTGATCATCTCTATGAGAGGAACATATTGACATCACAAATGATCTGATCGGAATCCAAATAAGCTCAAATTAAGAACTTAAAATATTATTGAGATTTGAGAACGGCAAGACATTAATTGAAGGACCAAATAACTTTAAATATTGTGTGGCTCGAAGACTATTTCATAATAGTTATATCTCAGCTTGAAAATTAGTTCATCACTGAGTTATGGTTGGATAAGCTTTGAGCTGCTTCATTTTTAAGAGCTTGATTTTAGATTTTTAATTTGTACGAGGAACCTGAAGCTATTTGCACTATACTGCAAGTGCACATCTTCCATGATTTAACCAGCATAGCTAACACACCCATAAAGAAGCCTTCTTGGTAATCACTGACTAGCTATTCAGCATCAAGCTACGCAACACTATTATAGTACAGTATTAGCATTACAATATGTCAAATGAAAACCAAGTAATAAAGCAATTTAGAAAGAAATAAAAGAAATACCAGAGTCATGTTGATTGTTGGATACAAGTATACTTATATGTTAGAGAGAGAAACAAAAGAACATTCTTGAGGGAGGAAGAATGCAACCACGAAAGCAACAAGAGAAATTAAGGCTTCGTTTGAGACAGCTTTTAGATCACTATTTTTTCCTGTTTTTAAGAGATTTTTTATACTAAAAAGTAGCTTTACAAAGCAGTAAAAAAATCTTCACAAATAAAGCCTAAAAATGCGTGCGGCAGAGTTATGAAGGGTTCTTTTGGGGCAACTTTTTTACTATTTTCTAAAGCAGCTTTTTAGGACAATTTTTTAGCTACTTTAGAAAATAGTATGAAAGCTGTTTGAAACGAAGCTCGAGTGAAGATGAAGACCCGCCTTGACTATAACAAAAGGGGTTAGAGGTTAAAGAATTAATGACAAAGAAGAGGAACCAAGTTATTGATAACTCCAGAAAATCACGTGGCAAAGAGGAACAAAAAGTTCAAGTCACAAACCTAAATAATGCATGATAAAGTTTATCATTTGGATTAGGGTCAATCAAATTTGGATTCAGAAATGGTGAATCAAGGCAGGTTCACATTTTATAGGTAACATGCAAACCTATCAGCATTTTGTTTTAATGAGACTCCTAAACAAAACAAAATATAGTTTGGTCAAATTAAAACCAAATGATTTTGCAAACATATTCTAAATATTAAATTTCAAGTGCTATTAACTATAGAGGCTACTTTATTTGAAGAAAAAAAAAATATTCATTTGGTTAGGATAAATCTCATAACCATTAGATTTGCTTTGATATGAGTGCAATGCATAAGAAATTTCTATGACACTCACCCAAGGCCCGGACTTCCACCGGACCACCACTTGAGGCTCTGTGCTCCACCAGGCCACCACCTGAGGTTTGGGCTTCCGCCGGACCACCACCTGAGGCCCGAATTTCCACCAGACCACCAATAACGCCCAAACTTTTGTCGGACAACCACCCGAGGCCTGGACTTCTACTGGACCATTACCTGAGGCCCGAACTTTTGTCAAAAGACCACATGATGCCCAGAGTTTTCCTGGAGTACCGCCCTTCTACTACGGTATTTTGGACCCATGTCTATTGCCCATTATGGTCCCTCCGACCTCCATCACCAGACAACAGTCTTTCTAACCCCCGTCTCCTACCTACTACGATATTTCGGACCCCTGCCTCCTGCCGTTTATGGTCCTTTTGACCTTCATCACTAGACAACGGTCTTTCTGACCACGATCTCCTATCAACTACGATCTTTCGAACCCCTATCTAATGCTGACTATGGTTCTTCTATCCAAACAATCATGTCTATGTTGATTATTGTAACTCCCACCATGTAATGCACTCTATATGACGTACATTTGTAACATCAAGCCAAGACATTCTCTCTAAGAAGGGCCTCATTTGTAATCGACTACAAATACTAGTGGAATCATTCAAACTGGGCTAGACCCCATGGTTTTTTCCTCTTTTCAGGGGGTTTCCACGTAAAAATCTTGGTGTCTCTTATGAATGCTACACTCTCTCTTTTTATATGTGTGTGTGCTAGATCTTCATATAATGCTAAGACATTAAACTTTATATTTCTCTACCGCCGCGAATGCTCCAGGACATAAATTTATATTATGCCTCTACTTTCATTTATGATAAGGAAGTCCAAGGGCGAACATAGGTGGTGTAAAACGAGTCTAAGTGTTTGCCTAATTGAGCCCATCTTGTTTAATTCTTAGTGTGCTCAAGCACTCTTTTGTTTCCCTTTTTTTATATATTTAGGCAATCAAGGAAAACTTACACCCATCATATACATTGAACACGAATCCAATATCTCTTGGTTAGCTCAAGCTCATTTGATGAGCTAGAACTAGAGTTGTTTAAATTTTTTTTAAATCTATCTCATTTAGAAAGCTCAAGCTTGACTCGATTTCTTATTTATAAATTTAAGCATTTAATTTGTTTTATAATTTTTAGTTTTAATATAAAAATAATTTTAAAATATTAATATATTATATAATGCTAATTAAAATTAAAAGTTAAATATATTTTAAGCTAATTGTGTAGCTCGAGGAGCTAGAGCTAATATATGAGCTTGAGTATATGCTTTTTATTTTTTATTTACATCTTTGTGAGAGAAAAGTGAGGGGGCAAATTTTTTAAAAGGATCACAATATACGTTGAATTAGGTACACGAAATGTAATTTTAAAAATATATATCAAAATCTCAAAATGGTTTTGGGATTTCGTTGAAAACGAAAACCAAATTTCTTCTTGCATTTTCACTAGAAAACCTGATTTCATCCTGGTTTTTTATAGAAAACGCAAATTGAAACCTAACATATTAAATATATAGTTTAATAGAATATTTAAAATTTTAATAATATTTAATATAATATTTAGAAATTTCATAAATTTAATAAAGAAATGAAAATTTATAAAATAT